ACACGTTGAACCAGTATTTGTCATCAATATTGCTTGTCAAATAATTTAGTTCTTTTTGATACGAGACACGATCCTAATTGATTTTCTTTTGATAAAACAATAATATTTAGCACCAAAAATATATAAAAATATAATTGGATTGAATCGCCCTTTTCCTACACGCTCAATTTATAGCTTTTCGAATTAAAAACGATTATTTCGGCCTCTTGAACTTAGACAGAATTAGAGACCGAAGTGAACTAAACTCTACAAGCCGAAGTCGCTTACAGCTGGTAGTAACGATAAATTAATGGTATTTCGAGAGATATAGAGCAATTCTCGGGGTCTTGAATGAATTATGCACCTCCTTGAGAGTGTTTTAGACACACCACGCTTCATTATTTTCATTGTTTTAGACACTCTGTTCGTCGATTGGGTCGATCAGAGACCCGTGTTAAAGATCTTTGGAGGAAATGAGCCGCGAAATGTGAATAGTGGAATTTATTGGATACGAGGATTGAACGTCTAGAGGATTTTATTAAAATGGGGAGGAAAGTTATGAGAGAGTTTTGTTGAAGAATCAATAATCCCTCTTCAAGATTTAAATAGTGTCATTTTGATTTTTTTCATTTTCTTTAACCACTTGTGTGGTTTTTTTCGAGAGTGAATAGGGACGAGGAAGAGCAGATGGGTACTGCTACTCAATATCCAAAAACGACGCTAGAAATAGAAAACTTTGGCAAGTATTGATTTGAGAAATGTACTAGACTCCGGCTAGTAGCCTAACATGCAATGGAAAGATCCATGTTATAAGGAAATGTAAAAATATTCTAATTTTTGAAAACGTTATTAGATGGGTATTGTAATGTCATTGAAAACATATTTTTATTTATCTTTTTGTTTTAAAATATGGAAAATATTACACATTATATTCTATATATTCTATTTAAGGTCATTGTTTTTGATATTTACAAATTACACTACTAGCAAAAGAACTAAGTGTGCAATGCAAAGTTATTATAAATAATTGTTTTCCCACATGGATATTAGCTTATCTACGCACATATTATAAAACGAAAAAGTATGCTATGGTCCTGTGGTCAGCGTTCTAGCCTTCCACACAGAAGACTGAAGTTCGATACTCAGATGGGCTAAAAATGAAATGAACTTTTTAGTTTTTTTTTCGTTAGTCATAAAGTCATAAATTATTTTAAAATTAGTTATTTTGTCTTAATAACCTAAAATATTTTTTTATTTGTAAATTTTCGTTAGTGGGTTGTAGCAAAAATATACTGTACAACTCGAATGGATTGTCCACATCGCACTCAGACGATTGAGCACTCCGCCTACGGCGGCGTGCTCAAATTTCGTCTTCCTGCGATATGGCCATCATATCCACTCTTGTTGCACAAACTACTATTGTTTGTTAACGTTACAATAATTATTGCTAATTGAAGATAATCTATTCATAGCAATTCTGGAAGTATTTTAAAGGAACTGTTCGTGACAGCTTTCTAACTATTTGCAAAAGTCCTTCCTTGGGGTTAATTTTCAACTTTGGATAAAGTCACAGAAGGATAAATCAGATAAGTATGGGGAATGAGAGTAGGTAGAGAAAAATTTGCTTAGGGGCCTCCTATGGTAGACGTCTGGATCTAAAGAAGCAAGAGAACATACTCTGGCATACATGGAGTTGCACCCAAATCACCTTCTCATTGGGAAAAACATACCACTATATTTCGGGCTAAAATGTATTGAATTATGTGTTAGGGAAAATCTGAAAAATGCTTAATTCTCTCATACAGTCAAGCAGCCTTTAAGATCCTTGGAACCAACAGCATCAAGTCAAAGCTGGTCTGGAATAGCCTTGGAATACTTAAATGACCTGGAAACCCACAATAAGGTAAAACTACCATTCACAGGACCCAAACATGTGGTTGGGATCAGAAAAACCCCTGCTCAGCAGGCAGTGAACAGGTGAATAACCAGTAAACAAACTCACTGGTAATAATAATACTCTCCCCAATTCACCCCCTTACGAGTGAATTTCTCTTGGCTCTTTTAAAAATGTTTGGTGACAAATGCGCTTTTGAAAAAGTTCTATCACTTTTTCACCAAGCAAAACTTGAAAACGTTATATAAATCATATAGCAATGCATGGCAAGGAGTTCAAAGTTATATTGACCTGTAGATAATATACCAAAGGAAACAATATTGTAGACGAACTTGCTAAATACTCTATAGCAGTGGTGCCCATACTTTTTTCTATGAAGATCTACCAACCAAAAATATATAACTGAGAGATCGACACCTTGTACCAAAAGTTTGTAATACCTTAACACCAGTGTCGGATTGGGACCTTCAGGGCCTACCGGTTAAGCAGAAAGAAGAGCCCATCTATCAATTATTTTTTTATGGTCCGATTCATTGACGAGCAAGCAAAAATAGATTAAATTACCCTTATGGGAGAGACAACAGCGGCACGGGTAGCAAGAGGATGTCCACAGGGTGGAGTGCTGTCTCCACTCCTGTGGAACCTTGTAGTGGACGGGCTGCTTAAGGCTCTCAAAGATAAGGGACAGAACCCTGGGATATGCCGATGATCTAGTGATCATGGCACAGGGAAAATACAACACTATAGTAAGAGATCGAATGCAAGAGGCTCTAAATATAGTAACAAAATGGACAGAGGCGGAAGGACTAAACATTAACCCAAACAAATCTGACATAATTGCATTCACCCGCAGGAGGAAATTGGAGGGACTAGGGCCTCTAAACCTAAGAGGTGCAAGCATCCAGCTTAAGGGGGAGGTAAAATACCTCGGGGTTATGATTGACTCGAGACTTACCTGGAACCAGCATCTAGAAAAAACCAGAAGGAGAGCGGAAACCTCATTAATAATGGCAAGGCGATCCTTTGGAAAAAAAATGGGGGTTAAAACCAGACATGGTATAATGGATTTATAACATGGTGGTGAGACCCATAATAACATACGCAGCTTTGGTGTGGTGGCCAAAGACACAGCAAAGGAAAGCAATAACGAGGCTTAGCAAGGTACAAAGACTTGCCTGCCTCGGAATAACGGGGGCAATGCAAACAACCCCCACTGCTGCAATGAAAGCACTAATAGGACTCCCACCTCTTCACTATGTGATACAAGGGGAGGCAAGATTAGGTGCTTACAGATTAGGGAATACACTGGGAAATCTTGACATTAGGCCAGGTCACATGAGTATCTCAAGGTTAGTGACAGGAGACGTGTTAGACATGAGATCAGACCACTTAATCAAGAGGTACTCTTTTAATACTCCCTTTGAGGTTTTAATACAGGAAATAGCGGAGATCACCATAAGGGAGCCCAATGCCCAACGACAGGAACAAACCTGGTATACAGACGGGTCTAAGACTGCGGAAGGCACTGGGGCAGGAGTATTCTCCAAAAACCCTGATACTAACCATAGCTATGCTATAAGAATACATTCCTCGGTATTTCAGGCCGAGGTATAAGCAATTTTGCAATGTGCAAAAACGAACAATGAAAGAGCTGTCGAAAATCAGCATATTCAAATAATGTCAGACAGCCAAGCGGCACTTAGGGCCATATCGAGTCAGAAAGTTACGTCGAGGCTGGTATGGGAATGCATCGAAGAACTAAGAACACTGGCAGACCGTAATAGAGTAAAACTATTTTGGGTGCCAGGTCACAAAGGGATCTAAGGCAACGAAAAGGCTGACGAACTTGCAAAAAGAGGGTCAGAAGAAACACCGGAACCAGACACAAACCGAAGAGTACCAAAAAGTACAGTCCGGGGTTTTGTAAATGACTGGATTCGGGAACAACATATCAACTATTGGGGAAGCACCCCAAAACAGGCACATGGAAAAGCCTTCATCGGCAGACCATGTCCCAAAAGAACTGGAGAACTACTCTTAATGAATAGGAACCAGTTAAAAGTGATAACAGGGTTCATGACTGGGCACGCCCCAGTAAAGGGACACTTGAACAAAATTGGCATGTACAATGGGGAACTCATGTGCCGACTATCTCACAAGAAACCAGAAACGGCCAAACACATACTGTGCGAATGCGAAGCTCTAGATCGCAAAAGACAGGCTCTTTTTGGACAACCCCAGGTTGATCCAACAACGTATAGAACCCACTCACCCAAGGATCTGTACAAACTTGTACAAGGTACAAAGGTGATAGAGTGGGTGCTATGAACTAACATGGGGTAAAACACAATAAGCCAATAGGCTTCAGTGTTATTCGGAGACACATAGTCAGACGAGCCCAGGAGAGAAAAAAAAAAGCAAAAATAGATTGCAAAGAAACAAAATACATTTAAAATGGCAGTAGCAGTTAAACAAAATACCACGCAGTTTTAAAAATCAACACTATTGGATACATTCTGATCTACCTGTCGAAATCCCTTATATCTCTGGTAGCCTTTGATATCTACTATCACTAGATTAAAATGCAATTATGAAAAATTCCTGAGGAATCTAGCTAATCTTTAGATTATCCCATCAGGAACATGTACTTGTGATTATTTAATACTATGATACATAAATCAAAGATAATCTTTTTTATTCCAACAAACTTCAATCAAAACAAACTGCATCTGAAAGCATTAAATAGTGCAGGGTTTTCACTCACTAATTTAAATATACATTTTAAATTCAGAATCGACTTCATCTTATGGAAATAAAGCATATGTTGTTTATGAAAGTTCTGTTTATATTGTTAAATAATCTTTTCAAACACCAGGCGAGGTATTAATTTTTTTTAAGAATATTTTGTTGTTTTCTTACAAATTATGAAAAATTCCAGAGAAGCAACAAAATGTTCTCAAAAAATTATTACATCTTGTGGTATTACCCTTGATAATTCGTCTCTATGTGACATAAATCACATATTCTTTTACTGTAGAAAAACATAAAAAATTCAAAATGTGTATGAGCAATTAGGGAAAATAAATAAACAGTTCTTATTTCATATCGTTCACCTACTATCCATAAAATGCTTGATGACAATGAAAAAAAGTATAATTTTGAAAGGATTTTGTAGCTATTCCACCAAGCAAAACTTGAAAACGTTAAATAAATAATATACCGATGACAAACAGTTCAAACTTACACTGGTACACTGCAAAAAGTGACACGTCATTTTTTATTTTGTTATTTCTAGTTGGGTACCTACAGAAGGGAGAGGATGAACAACACGCACTGTCTCGGGAGTTGTCGTGTGACCTGTAAAATTCAAAGTAAAGTTGCTTATCAATGGATTTTTCCATTTTTGCTGATAATTAAATATATCGTACCCCCGCAAAAAAAAGTGACACAACTCAAAATTCTTCAAATTTAATTTTATGCGCCCATTATATTCCAATTATATTAATCTTCACTCATGAAAACTGTCAAGTTAATTTTATATAATTCTCGGGAGAGGTCGCTAATGTTGTTTTGTGCTTTACCGCCAATTGCCTTTTTTCAATCAAGAACAGCGACACATTTCAGTTGTGCCACGACCGCCGAGAAATGAGTTTGTTTCGCTGCTTACGAAAACCGACATATCTTGAGTTGTGACGTTTTTCATGTTATATACTGTTTGAATTGAATGTGAAAAATAGGCATATTTTGGTTTGTGACGTTTTCTTGTTCTAAGTAAGTATTAATATCGGTTTATTTTGCAATATGTCACTTTTCCTGTTATGACTTAAATTTAATTTGCAATTGTGACAGTACTCATAACAAACTATTAATTATTTAGGCTGTAAATACAAAATAGTACATAATGTAAGGCCTTATTATGTATAAGTTACATTCAATATTTTATGTACAATTGCTATTATTATAAAGATACAAAAAACTTTAAGAATAATAATTGTTTTAAAACATTTATTTAATTTTAAAATTTGATTGATGTTTAAAGACCCAATTATGTTGAAGCTGAAAATAATGAATCTGATAAATCCTCATCTCTGCCAGATAATTTACAACAGTATATGGAAATTAATGAGAACACAGAAACAAAATTCGTCTTAAGAAAAGTAAAAAATGGCGCAGTATTAGTTTCTGCTCATGAGAATGCAGAATCCGTATCAGATAAAAGCGATGCTGAATTAAACCTGAGCGATGATTCCATAGCCGATCCTAACTTTTCTTTTGCCAAGTCAACCTCAAGTGATTGGTCATCATCAGATTCTGAACAAAATAGGTCACTCATTATATCTGCTGAAAGTTCGCCTCCTAAACGTGGTAAAAAGAGAGCAATTAGAATCCCAGAAAGAAAAAAAGAGACAGCAAAGCGACTCAGAAATATGGGAATGGAATACCAATCCGTTTCCAAGTCGTCGAAAATATTCAAAGCCAGGGAAATTCTAGAACCATATACAGACAAATGCAAACTTTCATGCTCAACCAAGATTTCAGAAGATCAAAGGAAAAATATTTTCAACAAGTACTGGCCACTTGGCAACTTAGAACTGCAACGGTCTTTTATTGCTGGGAACACACGCACAGAAAATCACAGGAAATTGAACAACGCGTTCTACTTGAAGATAGAGTCGAAGAAGGTGAGAGTTTACGAACTATTTTTTAAAAATACGTTGGGAATCAATGACAGACCCATAACAACAGTTCTGCAAAAAAAGAAAAATGGATTTCTTGAATCAGAGAAGAGAGGAAAACACACTAATCATTTCACAGTAGAACCTGTCATAAAAAAATCAGTAAGGAACCACATCAACTCCATACCGCGTATGGAAAGCCATTACCTTCTTGATAATACTTCCAGAGAGTACATAGATGGTGGTAAAAGTTTAGCTGACTTACATAGAGATGATGTAAAAGAACAGGCCGAAAAAGTAACCAGCTGCAAATCTTATGATGTACTTACGTATTTTTAATAAGGAGTTTAATATTTAATTTTTTTTTCTCCCAAAAAAGATTTATGCAATTTGTGCGAATCTTATAAAAACGCACCAGATGTACCAGGTACAAAGAAAAAGTACGAGAAACATCAGGAAGAAAAAAAGTTGAGCCGTGAATCTAAAGAACAAGATAAAATAATGTGTTAATGATAATTTTGTCTTGGCAACATTTGACCTCCAAGCGGTCATGCCATGTCCTAAAGGAAATTTGTCAATATTCTACTACAAATCGAAAATAAACTCTTACAATTTGCGAAGTGGGTAATGATGCTGTAGAATGTTTTTTTTTTGGCTCGAGGGCGAAGGACATCGTGGCGCTAATGGAAAAGGCTCTTGCATATTGAAGTACATATTTGAAGAAGAAAGCTTCTGCAATTAATAATGATAATTTGGAATTCACCTTCTACTCTGACAATTGTTGCGGGCAGAACAAGAATCGGTATATCATTGCAATGTTCCTGCACGCAGTTAAAACACTAAAAATAAAAGCTATTACACAGAAATTTTTGATCTAGGGCCATACTCAAAATGAAGGTGATGCCGCCCATTCTGTAATTGAAGAGGAGATAAAAAAATCATTTAAAAGTGGTCCAATTGTCATTCCGCAGTAATATGTCACAACAATACAGCCAAGAAACGAGGCAATCCATATCAGGTGAACGAAATGAGTCATTCAGATTTCTTCGACTTAAAGCATTTGAGTAACATGACAGGTAATAACTAAGCTAAAGATGTCACTGGCAACTATAAAAATGACTGATTTCAAAGTTCTAAGGTTTGAGAAGTCTAGACCAGATTCATTTCTTTTCAAACTAACATACAAGAACCTAGAATATGGAGAAATTGAAGTTCGAAAGAGAAAACCCCAATCTTCCTTTGGTTTGAAGAAAGCTTACTTCAGAAAAATAGCGATTGAAGGAAGAAATAGAGACGACTGTTTGGAACTAATCCATTCAAATCACATCTCGAAAAGTTATATCGATATTTTTAATTCACTGTTTTCTTGAGCTCATTTTAAACTTGTTGACTATTTAAGTTGAATTCTTGTTTAAGTTTTATACTGTGTTTTAATCAGAATTAATATTTTTCATTTGTGATGATAGTTATATTAGTTATAAAATAATAAAGCTAAATAAAGTAAAACAAGTCGTTAGTTACTGTATTAAGTACTGTCATATATTAAAAGAAATCAAGTAGCAACACAAGAAAAACGGCACAAGTCAGATTAGAGGGTAGTTTTAGGGGTTCTGGATGCTCTGAAGTCTAAATTTTAATTTTAAATCTAAAACACAAAATAACAAGTTCATGTGTTTCAAGAGTTAATTTTGATTTAACACTGCAATCTGTACTAATGATCTTTTTTAAAGTTTTTATTTTTATTCTCCTAGACAATTTAATGTTTTTGACTTGTGTCACTTTTTTTGCGGGGGTGCGATATGATTCTAGACTCCAATAACATTTAAAAAATCCCTTTGCAAGAATTTTCTGTCGTTCGATTTTGCTGCTTGCATTCAAGTTACATTATTGGATATTTACTTTTTTCAACGAAATTCAGTCTAAAAAAGTTTAAATGCTCTCAAAATATTTGCATGACTCTCAACAAAGAGCATTGCCCTCGCAACCATTCAGTCGATTTACCAACTTCGTCATCTGTTAAGACTATTTTGATATTTTTCTCGAAAACCGAGTGTGAAGAAAAGGCCAAATGGGGAAGAACTACTCAATAAAAAATGCTCGCAAGGACAAAACTCTTTGATTTACATTTTAGATTTTAAAAAATGTGTTACAGAGCTACATCTCGAATCTCGTTGGAACAGGTAAATTTCCGGTCACGTGATCGAAATCCTTACACTGGAGGTAGCAAAACAAGATGACAGAAAATATTTCCGAAGGGATTTATTTTATTGTTATTGAAGTCTAGAAGCATATAGGTTATAGCCAGCAAAAGAGGAAAAATCCATCGATAAGCAATTTTTCTTCGAATTTGACAGGTCATACGACAGCTCCCACTAACGGGACATAGTACATATTGTTCATTATCCACCTTCACTGTATTCAACTACAAATATCAAGCAAAAAAATGTGAATCTAAGCAGTGTTGCCAGTTCAATCGCTACAGATAGATTCCCATAATACTTTAAAATTATCATATAAATATTTGAAAATGATTGCTTGCAAAATTATTTAAGATATATACGAGTAGGTACCTCAAATAGAAAGTATTTTATTAAAAGATCTGAAACGTTTTCATGACAATTAGTTACCACATTCACAGTTAAACGTTCCGGTAGTAGCAAGAAACAGATAAATCACGATATCCATCTTTTAATGACAATTTAACTTTTATAAGATCCCGGCCGCAGTTAATTAGTTAACAGAACACTTTCTACATTTCGTTTCATGGTTTTCTATTTAAATTCTTCACGCCTCTAAACGCTACAAATTTATTTCTTTACTAACGCCGCGAGTTTGTAACGGTTTAAAAAAAGTTTCGAAATTTTTTGGATGCCTCGCGTCCAACTTGTTGCGTTCACGAAAATCGAATCGTTCAACAAGGTAACTAGATGTTAGTTAAAATGGGATAAAAAAGACAAAAATGGCCGGTTCGAGACTTTTATGGGACGTTTCTAAGAGAAACAAGAAAAGCCGAAAATAAATTAAACGGTATTTCTATCGTTAGGTGCCCGTTTTATGTAGACTTTTAATAGGCGGTTTATAATTAAAGCAAATAAACTACCTAAATGCTGTGTTTACAGGGCCGCTTTGTTTTGTAAATAAGTGTCACTTTTATTTATATAAAATGAGTTTATTGCATTTATATCGGTACATTAAAAAGGGCCTTGTTGTGGGAATAAAAAAATTCAGTTCCGACAAGGCATTTACCGTACATTATTATGCTTACTCGATTGATTTATAAGTTTAGATTAGGTTAGTTAATGGTTGTTTGAATTACGAAAAGGATTTAGTAGTTAGGAGATTTAATGTTCACTTGTACAGATCCCCCTGTTGGAGAATTATCGATAGTCGTTATCATCGGTAGTTATCGCTATCGATAACCATATCTAGTTTTACATTGTTTTTGTAAAATAAAATAATAAATTTTATTATGGATTTTATTGGAAAAAAAATTGAAACAAATGTTATTAATTAAAAATTCTGTTTAAATACAACTGATTGTTTGTTGCATTTAACGAATAATAAAACACTATGGCATCCCAACACTGAGGAAAACGCTTTAGTAAAAAAGTGTTACTACTAAAAAATGTACTGTGGCTATAAAATTTTTTACTGCTACTGTTATATTATCTAACATTAACTGTTATATGTGTTACTAGGACTATAAACTAAGTTTTACAGTCCAAATTCTTACCGTTGCAGTAATATTTTTTACTACTCCAGTTAGAAACAGAATCACTATTATTCGTATTACCATCACATTACAATCATCTTACTGAATCAGTAATTTTTATTACTACCGCAGTCAGACCTTTACTAGTAATATTTTTATAACTACCACCGTAAAATTAGCAAAATGAATCTGCAAAATAGTAAACAACCACAGTAAAACACATTAACAATAAATGTACCGAACCGTTATAATTAATGGCGAAGAATTTGCCGAAGTCGTTTCTGGCTTGAATTATTGAGCGATCTTCGACCATATCGTCTTGCACAGTCGTTGAGTCCACAGCCACAGTAGACCACGTTCAGTCGAATATGGAGACGTACCAGTATTGTGCATTATTAACGGAATGGGGGTTTCCGGCCCTAGTTAATAGTTTCGTAAGTAAGTAATTCGAAATAATATACTTATGTACCTAAATATAGTACCTGTAGCAATTTTGATTAATACATTAGTAAAAAAGGCGGGACTTTTAGGAGAGAAATGCATAATGCATAAATGCTTTTATTTCGGATTGAGGATGAGCCATACGGTCTAGGAATGTTTAAACTGCACAGGAGCACATTCAGTATCAAAAATTTAGAATAAAATTTATTAAAAATGTTTGGCTAAGATTCGCAGAGCAATAAATTTGTTGGATTAAAAGAAATAAGAAAGTTTTCACACACCACTTATTTTTATTTACACAGAAATAATATCAAACATTTCTACCATTGCAAGCTCCAAATTTAAGTAAACAATTTGGGTCTGCTGGACTGCAACGGTAAAAATTTTTGATATTATTTTTGTGCGCAGAAATAATCTCAAAAATGGGATGGTGTTATACGGGCTTTATTTCATTTTTTTAAATTTGGAATATAAAAAAGGACATTTTTTATATTTTTAGTGCAATCATAACGCAATGATAATCACCCATTTGTTAACCTCAACAAAATAAGCAAATCTTAATAATTAACTAACTATACATTGTTTTATGAATGTTGTACTTTTATTAAAAAAACGATTATTGCCATTGATTTGACCTTAATAAATTAATTTTTTTAATTTTTTCAAAATTGCTCTAAATGTCTGGTTATGGTTATGGTGTGGGAAGTAAAAAAAACCCATGTCTCTTATAGAAATTTACCATTCAGATAAACATTATTCTCTGATAATTATAGTAGGTACTCAATACTTATGGTGTGTTTATAGAGCTTGATTTAGTTTTAAGCATAATCATTATCATAAATATATATTTGACATAAAATCAATATGTATGCTTATGTTATTCTTGATAAACGTATGCATTAAATTGTATTGATTTATCTTTTATGTTAACGTTTATGTATAGGTATGCTTATTACTAAATCAAGCTGTATAAACCCACAGTTATTTTGTTGTATTTTATAGATGGAAACTCCCCTACATAAGTTAATATTAATTGTATTATAAACATATCAATAAAAGGGTGTTTCTTAAAAAATAAAATTTTAAAAAGTATTTAAATGTGCTTTGAAATGGTCAAATCGAAACGTTGCGCAATTCGCTCCTGAAAAACCAGCTCAACAAGAAAGTTTTTATTTTTAGATGAGGA